ATCAGAGCATGCGGAAAAAGCACAGTAAAATTCATGTAGATAAGCGAACTATGGACATCGTCCCTATTGCCCCTATTCAATTTCTTCAATTTTCGGTAATCCTAATAATAATTTTACATTTAAATTCTTGTACACATTAATTTAAAATATTACAATAGGTATATCATAAAATTATTTTGAATAAAAGATTTTATGAAATTAAAAGTTAAAAAATAAATGTTTTTTCATTCTCGAGTTATAAGAAAATCTACATATTATAAAAAGTTAACAATAATAGTTTGGTTATAAAATAGAATTTAAAAAACATGTACCATTTTTTCCCTTATTATATTTTATATGTTTACAAATCTAAAATAATTCAAGTAATCTCGATTATGATTTTTAGAATATTTTAGAATTCATATTTAAACAAAAACAAAAGCAAGCAATAATCTATAAATAATATTAAATTTCTAATATATTTTCCTATAACTTATTTCTAACGATATTTTCATTATTTTACGATATTATTAGGTTTGTGTAAGAAACTTTGTATTTTTTTATAATTTACTTAAGTATATAATTAAAAAAATCTGTTAATATTACTAGTTTTTCAAGTTTTGAATTTGATGTAGATTATATATTATATAATTTATAAATCACTGGTATTGCTTAATATATTAATAAATATTTATAAATTTTAAAAAATAAAATATTTATGAAATAATGAATAAATGGTAGTATATCTCTTGTCATTATTTTAAAATATTTTTACAAATATGAACAAAGAATTAGTTTTTATTTATAGTATTGTTCTACGTTTCATACAAAATTTTACTATATGAATGGAATAAAGTTTTATCGTCTTCAATGTAAAGAACATTAAAAATAAATCACGTGTTTTCGCACATTGTCAAGTCGAGGGGAAAAAAGTTAAAAAGTCGATCGCGTTTCATTACATCTTTGAAGATATTTGTCATCTGAACCACTAGACAGTATTTTTTGCTGTATCAACTAGACTATTTTCTCTGAGTCGTTCAATGTCGAGTCGAGTTGTGACAATTTAAAAGTAATGGAAAGAGGACGAGTGAAAATTAAATACTATATGCACATTTGAACTGTATTATTCCCATTTATAACTCTTCAAAATTTTCAAATTATTTATATTGAAAATTATATTATTTTAAATTAATAATTATATATAGTGGGATATTCTTAATAATTTTAAATCATAAAAATCATTGAAATAAATAAAAGCATTATTTTTTAATTTTACATGTTACCTAAAGTGTAATATGACGTTTTAATAACATTTACACATTTCATGTTATATACAAGTAATGTATTATATATAAACACATTTTATTTATATACTAGCTCTATTCAAAATTATTTATTTTTTGCAAAACATTCTTTCATTTGTCATAAACATTAATTACAACTTATTTTAATATTTTATTGATATATAATTTTTATTTTTATATATAAAATTAAAAAACATTTTTTACACACTAAAATGAATTAAATCAATATTTATATGAAATATCATAGGCCTCGGAATTATTTAGATTCTTTGCAAACCAGAAAAACTCGATAAAATAAATCTAAATACTCATCTAATTAATATTGTACAAAGTAAAAAGGTATTAAAAAGGTAATTGAATAAAATTTTAAAAGTATGCAACTTATTTACTTTTGAGATATTACATCCAAAAGCTAAATCTCTAATTATTATAATTTTCTTTCCTATAATACAATAACAAATTTTATTCATTATATATTTAATATTCACAGTCGATGTATAGAGGGAGAGTAATCTTATTAAGTTGATTTTACAATTAGTTTCAAATCAATAAAAATTTAACTTGTGTTTTATTATATTTATATTAATTTTTCTGTAAAAATAAAAATTAAAAAAAAACAATTTAAATACAAAAGTCTTGACTACTTCGTACAACCGATATGTTTTTTTTTAGTCATATTGCAAGTATTTCCTGCTTATAATATATTTCTTTTTATTTATCTTACTCTCTCTTTAAGCCACTACCTTTCTCCCCCCCCCCCCTCTTGCCCATATTCTATCTCTACAATTTTCTGTTTACTATTCCTGCAAGTAGCACCTCATTCGAATAAAAAGACTATCTTTGTATAGGACTTCATCAAATCTACTGTTTTGCTCTTTATCTGCTACATTTCGTCAGTGAATACTTCAAGAAAGTCAGATACTATATCAATGTATATGTGTACATGTTTAAATTTTTCATTATTTTTTGTTTTTAATTTTCACTCATCGTTATGTATGTGTTATATACTTTTGGGTTTCACAATGAGATAAATAATAGAGCCGAGAAAATAAAATATAGCTATATATTTTTATAATTAATTTAAGTACTATTTTTGTAAACAGTAATTTATTTTAAAAAAATTATAAATTATATGTCTCCAAATATTTAATTGAATTGATTAAGTATAATAATTGATCGAATAATATATCGAATAAAATAATATATAATTAAATACAATGTAACCTTTTTTCATTTTGAGTTTATACGAAATAATTATTATTGTTGGTTAATAATTTAATAATTAGTTATAGTAAATACACAAAATCAACAACTATGAATATCGAATAATATGATACTTGTTTGTACATCTGAATGAAATTATTTTTAATAAATTTTATTTAACCAAAATTTTATTTTTAGTAGCATATAATTTTTATCAAATAATAAGAATATGTTATTTTGAATATTTATATCCCAAAACAAAATTATATTAATTAAACATATAAATGAATAATTTTAAAATACATTTAAAATATTAAGTTAACCTGAAATAATAAAAATATAAAATAAATAAAAATAATATAAGAGTAATTTTAGAGTAATAATTTAATAAGGATTTAAATTTTATTTTAAATGAAAGGTATGTATTAAATGATTAAAAATATTTCATCTCATACTTAACATGGACAATTTATAATAAATTCGATTTTATCGAGACAAATTTTGATAATAATGTTTAAAATTATCAATTTAATATGAGAATTGATATATTGAAAAATAAGTAATATTTTTAAAGTAATATATTTAGTTTAATAACTTCATATAAAAATCACACGTACGCTTGCCAGCATATGAATTGACATTCTCGTACACCTATACATACATATGTACTAATAATTTCATTTAGGTAGCATATATACTACTACTTTCATTAATAGATATGAATTTATATTAATATCTTAGTATTCCTACATTTATTATTTATTAGCGAAAAAGTTGAATAACTATTATTTATAGTAATTGTGTTGACTTGCATTAACACTAATTTATTTTATATGCCACTAATATAAGTGAGTTTTCGAATTGGGGCGATCTATGAACCGAATGGTAATATAATAATAATTTTGAATTACGTACAATTACCATATTTAATCACTTAGACATTATATATAGATATTTCGTATATGATCAGCAAACCAGAATTAAACGATCTCTCTTACGCTAACTGTCTCTCTCCCTTAACCCCTTTTTCATTCTCTCAGATAAAATTGCGTGTAAGAGACTTTTCCTTATTTTTTTATCTTTTTAACTCATCCGCTTTACCCCGAACAAAATTCCAAAGTGATGAGCTTACGTCTGGTACGTATTAAAAATCGTCAAAAATATACAATGAACGCGTGACCTGTTTTTTCAATTATTCATTATTCTTAACATTCATTTTTATCCTTTGTATATGTTTCAGGGTGTTCCAATATTATTTATTACTGTGAGATTTGTGATTGTATTTCGATTTTTTTTGCACCTATTCTATACATTTAATTAGAGGTAACTGAAGACATAACTGTGGTGCTATTATATTTAACTATTATAATTTACTGCATACGTTAAAATATAAAATTTATTTTAAATATGTCTGAAAAATGTTATACGATTAATATTTCTTTCTTGAAACAACTACTAGAGTTAATTTTAGAATTTATAATAATTATTTAAAAGAATATTTTTAGTACATATTTAATATGACTTAATTTTTCAATAAATAAAAAAGATTACAATATCAATTTTGAATAATCTTATTAATTAATTAATTTAATTAATTAATTAAATCTTCATTAATTAAATAAACTTAATCCTTCCATTGGTTTCAATATTTTATGGGAATACTATATTTAAAATAATATAACTTAATATAATATGTGATTGAATGAAATTTGAAAATATCTAAAGTGTAATGAAACTCAACCCTGTATTATAACACCTGACATCTGTATTTTATTTGAATTTTGTAATAAATTAAAAAATAAGCTGCAAGTAGATCAAGTTAAGATCTTAGTAAAAAAAATTAGTGTACTTACTTCGAGAAGAGCAATGACAAGCCTCGTACTTCCACTTTGCAATGCAATTGTTCCAATTGCAGTCGTTTTGGATTTGACTTTTCCATTAGCTACTCTTTTGTTACTCTCGTCGACAATGTCTACTGCAAGGGTATGCTCATGGGTCAGCGGAATGTCCTGCGACTCCGTTACGACGTCATCCACGAGACCGTTATCTTGACGAGCTCGATCCAAGGTTTCGCAACCGTTCATCATCGTTATAGCGCTAGTATCTGCGATCTATTATGGTATATCATGTAATTAAATTGATTTATAATATTTTATTTTTAATAAATATATTTTTTCTAACAAATAAATATTATATATGATGTTTTTTAACGACGAAATAAAAATAAATACAACAAATTTATTAAAACCAATAATAATAATGGTATTTTTGAGAACGTATATTAATACAATGATAATAAACATTGTTTAATACCATCAAAAAAATCCAGGAAAATAATTTGTGATTAGTTAAGCATTAGCTGAATTTTCATAGTAGTCGTAGTAAACACCGAGAAATTGATTTTCATCTATTTTCATACACTGATGTGATACTGAAATGAAAAGAACACTAATGACAGCGTTAAAATCTTACTAAAATTATCTCGCTTGCAAGTCAATAATTTAAATCATACGTTAGTTATGAAAGTAGAATGAGCTTTTGAGAGCCATAAGATGAAAAACTTCCTAGAAATTTTTGAAGAAATAATATTAAATTAATATATTTCTGTATTTCTTAAACACTTTATTCATATTACTATTTTAATAATAGAAAATGATTATTTCAAATCTACGTTAAATATAAATTTTAAATAAATTTGCTTAAATAAAATATTAATTTATAAGTAATTTCGCTAATTCAATTAGTTTATTATATGTAATATCTATTGCATTTATCAAAAACTAAAATCTATATTTAATGACTCCTTTATATTAAATAGAAATTCTTAATACAAATTTATTTTTTATTTTATTTTAATTGTTTACTATGCCTCAACAGTTTCATATTAATAATGATGAATAACTAAAATAAACATAGTAATTTTGAATTATTAATAAAAATTTTTATGAAATTTCTGAAGGAGGTTTTCATAGATTTTTCTAATACAAATAATGTACATAATTTTTTAAAAATAATGTATAATAAAAATATAAAACTAAAAATAATATTAAGTTAGAATAAGATTTATTAAGTAAATCCAAATTTTTTAATTTTTTGTCAATACTTATTTATGTTACACATACTTCGGTCTTTTTATAAATTAATATTCAATAAATTTATCCGATAATGGCTAAATCAGTTTGATCTATACAAAATCTTCTATAATTTTGTTTAATATTTGTTATTTTCAATTGACATTGAAAATAACAAATTGAAATTCATTAAATATCTGATTATCTTACAGTAAATAACTATGAGTATTATCAATAATGTTGAAATCTTCTGCCTGTAAAATATATATCATACTAATTGTAAATAAATTTTTAAAACATAATAATTTTTTTTTAAATTACGTTATAAATGCCGATATTAAATCCACTTGATAATTTCCCGACGTTTTTTTATCAATTAATAATAAAATGTTACGTATATTTTTATAAAAAATTTTGAACATATTTAATATAATTTTTTTTTACTTTGATTTTGTTTGAAAACCAATAGATTATTCTATAAAATCTCATTTTTATTTTTATTCTAATGAAATATAATAATTTATGTGCTACATGTTTATTTAGGTAAATGATTTATATAAATTAAAAGTTACAATTACATTATAATTGTTATTAACTTTACAAGAAATTATTGGATTTTTAATAATTGATTTCTTATAATTCTTCATTGGTTAAATTTTTTTTTATGCATGAATTAATGTTTTTGCACAATTAAATATCAATATATATTAATAAAAAATATATAATACAAAATATTATTATTCTAATTTATTTTAAATCTATTTCTACATTGTTATGAAATAGTTTTTATGACTAAATACATATCTGATGTTCCCAAAAATATATTACTTAAGTCTACATTTTTAAGATGTGTAATTTAGAAATTCTAACACTATTCGCAATTTACCTCGTGTTTTCTGAATTTCAGTTCTTTTTAATATAAATTTATAGATGTATGAGTTAATGTAATTTAAATAATAAGGTTATCTTATCAAGCTACGTTTAATATAAAATCTAAGTTTTCAAAACGATGAACAAAACTTTTTGTTGTGAATCGTACGAAGCGCATGCGCCGGAAAGGCAAGAAAACATTATTCTTGGCTGGAAGCCAAAGCCGCAGCATATGTATATGTCATGTGTTAAGCTTACTCTGGTAATACAAAATCGAGTGCTCATGAGCCGTGATGTGACGAAAATAGGAATTTTTACTGTGATATATATCTCCGTTTTTTTCTTTTTTTCTTCTCTCTGTTATATTGTTTTCGGCAGTTCTTGGATGCATTATTAAATTCAAACGAATACTCAGCTGATTGTATTTCTCGAACTAATTGAAGTCTAAAAGATGTATCGAATGCTCAGTGTTTTTTTACTCTTAAACTCTTTCAAGACTTACATCACATATTATATATTACATCTTTATTGCTGTTACTGTGGTTTCTTTGTTCCTCAGTCATGAATTTCAGGTGCATATTGATGGGCTTTATTATTCATTCTAAAAATCATTTAAATTTACACGCGCACGCTCATGTGTTTACTTATAATACTTAATGAATAATGATAAAAAAGAGCTTGTAGAAATATTAATAAAGAATTTATTTAAATTATTACCAAATCCAGTAAATTAAATTTCATATTATTTTATTTGAAAAATATACTTATGATACAATTCATATATAGATGATCATATTTGTAATTCGTATTTCATTCGTCTATATTTATTGTAATCTATAAAAATAATACCTCATTATATAATATTTCTTATTATTTATTAACTTTATTTTGATTGATTTTGATAATATTATTTTGATAAATAGGATAAAAATAAATCTATACATGAGATCGAATTTTTAAAAAGATGAATATCGTACAGATATTTTTTTAATATATTTAGGAATTACGTAAATAGTATATGCTTCTGATTAATTCTTAATTAAAATTTTTATTTAAAAATATAAAATGCTAAATGATTACAATTATTAGCATTTATATTACGCAATTTTTATATCCTTGATTTTATGATTGACGTAAACACTTAAAGAATTAAGGATGAAGTAAGAACTGATATTATTACAATATTCTAATATATATTGTAGATAATAAAGAATACCCGATTTAAACTAAATTTAATAAAATAAAAAAATTCAATTTATATATAAAAATATGTTTTAATTTAACATTTAATTTGCATTTTATGTGTAAAAAACAAAATTTTCATTTAATTATATTCTAAATGTAATGAAAGTATTTTATTCGTGCATATACTTTTAATAATGTAACATTATATAATCAATAATTTTATAAATAATGAAAATACTTGTTATTGCTGCTGACTCCTACTCAAATAATAGATGATACGTGTGTATCCTTCAATACTTTTTGTTTATATAAATATATAAGATATAAATATATCTATGAAGTTAAATATTAAAATTTTATAATTAACTATTGAATGTATGTGTTAGACTTATTATTTTTTAATAAAACAAATGGATATAATTATTAATATGAACAATTAATATTTTTATAATATTCATTAGAAATTCTAAACCGGTATTTGTTATTTCTTGCAAATTTAGATATAATTAGAAAAAATTTTGTGTTGATTATCCAAATATATGAATGTGTTTATGCATATGCGTATATATTGCTACGCATGCCTTAACACGTTCATGCTTGCTCAGTGTTATGTTACTCATCCGTACCGAACACAACACCTATATGCCCAGAATCTATATAGAATACTAAACTAGAAGAGAGGAGATAGAAAGAGAGAGGGTGAAAAATAAGGAGAGATGGAAGCTGACTACGGGAAGATAAAACCGGCCTGACTGGTGGCGTTCTTCGAATAAGAAATATTGCGTCGAAAACGGGCAAATTTCGATCTTCTCTCTCCTCTCTCTCATCTCTCTCTCTCACTCTCTCTTTTCGTTTCTCGTTGTCTTGAAAAGCAGCAAAAGAATAACTGATTATATTCTATAGCGCAGCCGTGCATCTAGTTAACGATTATTCTAATGTGGTATATTCTTTTTATTTTGATTCTAATACGCGAGCGAAACAAGATTGCTACATTTATCCTATGGAAAAATGCACGCAGTGGATATCTTATCATTCAATCGTATATTATGCATTTTTTTCAATCTTATAAATTTATTATACTATTCTTGTATTCTAATAGTTTTGCATAACGATGAATAAAAAATTTGGATATTTTGCAACGTTAGCATAAGTTGGAATTATATTTAAGTCACACTTTCCGTAAGATTTGTTTTCAATTCTTTGAATTGCATTATAGTAAGCATAATATACTACTTCAGTAGAATATGCAGTTTATTTTACAAAGAAGAGCGTAAATGTAATAAATGTTCTTTCGTTTATATATTAATGAAGTATAATTAAATGTCTTTAAATATCTATATTTAAATAATGTTAATTGTTATATAAAAATATATATAGAACATAACGATAAATCAGTTTATCTGATCTTGTGATATATATGTCTTTAATTAAAAAATTTTGTTTGCTGATTGATATTCAATTTATCATGCCATTTTTAATTAATGAAATATTATATTTATTATACTGCATTATTTAAACATGTCATTTTCTTTAAAAAATTATTATTGGACTTCTTATAATGTATTATTAAAATTTTCTAAAAACAATTTGTAATAAATGTGTCTTCCTTATACAGCATATAAAATTGATATCAATAATTATTAAATGTTTTTGTATTTTTTTCTCAAGTTATGAATATTAATTATGTTATTGTATTGTAGATATAGTATATTATCAAACATTAATAATTATTAATCAAAATTTATTTTTAAATCAAATAAAACGAAACAATATTTTCAAATGAATTGGCTAATGTTTATTTTTAAATGTAATTTTTTTTATTTTTCACTTGTGTTCAAACATGAAAATAATTATTTTATACAGTTCTGAAACAATTTTATAAATGATATAAAATTGGTTCCAATACTTATTATTTCAATATTGACAAAATATATAATTATTATCAAAATTGATTATTATCAAAAATATATTTTAAATATCAAATTTCAGTACAAGAAATGAATGTATGACATACGTTAATCTACTGATACTTTTGAAAATTTATATACGTTATCAAGAGCTAAATAATACAAGTAGTAAATAGATAAGATTAAGAAATTTCTAAAAGTTTTATCAGATAAAAAACATGTAAACAGAAATTTCTCGAGAAGCTTACGATAACTATGAACTCCCCAGCATTTTGAGATCTCAAGATGAATGGACCGGGTCCGATAATAATCTTCGATCCATTGTGTTGCAAACAACTGAGATTCACTGGCTAAACATATGATATTGCCTGTGGGGCACGAGTGTTATTTGATGGATTTGGATAACAACGGGGTTTAGAATATGCCAATGTGTACCGAGAAATCGAGTCTTTTGTGCAGAAGCCAAGGACTGTCAGCGACATAATGTCACTCGCGGTCGCGACGACAATCCTTTAACATCCATTATTTTGCAAACAAAATTAAACGATTAATTATTTCATCAATGCCCACACACGTGCATACAAATACAAGCATACGAGCATGCATATAAATATGCAAAGAGACACGCATATAGATGTACAAATGCACATGTGCATGAAAACAGAGTAAACTGGCACAAATACGTGCACAATGGTCCGGCGCGTTCGGCGCACAAGCCGACACTACCTACTACCCGGCATCCACGGCGCTCGCGTCTGTCCTTCTCTGTCTTTCTTTCTTCGCCCGAAGCGCCACTACCACCGGCCCCGTCTCCACTAGGGAGCTCTCCTCCCGGTTCTTGGGCGCGTCGCCGGGATAAAGATAGCGACGGGGGTTCGAGGTCGAGAGGGAGGCGCCGGGTCCTGCCCGCGGAATTGCCTAGATAAACTCCAGCTTCACTCACCTAAATTTAGAAAGCCTACACCGAGGACTGAGTGCAGCTTCCGCGCGAATCTACCCGGCAGATCCTTAGTTCGCGAGTACCGGTTATCCGAGTCTTGGCAACGTTTATTGGACAATATCGGCGTCCCTTGTAAGACACGAAATAATGAGTTAATTGTAATGCGAATGGCAATTACAATAGGTACATTTATTGCAATGCTAGTAGCAATCGCCTATATTTGTTAATAATGCTGTTTGAGAAGATAACATAGTATAGTAACTATTCAAAATGCAAAGGTTTCTTTTATTATGTTAATTTAAGATTAATTATTATACTATTATGCCTGGTGTATATAAACGAATTTTATTTAATGTTTCATTTTTTGAAAATGAATTTTTATAGTATTCTAATATTGGATTATTGAACTCTTAATGATTTATAACAGATTAATTTTAATTATTTACCTTTACTTCCTTATTAATTTTCCGAAACAAGAGATTATTATTATAAATAAAATACTGTTATTTTATAAACTATTCTGCTTATTATGGGAATATGAATAAATATGTATTTATAATAATAATAGGATTATATAGTTGCGTATGGTGATACATATTCTATGGTAATCTTCGACTTCCTAAATAATTTTAATTCTTTTGAAATACATTTATGTTATATGTTTAATTTTAACTGCATGCATTGAATAAAGTCACATTATAAATTAATTACTTGAGTAAAATAGTTTCTATTATCATATATTAGATATTGTATTTAAGAATTGGCTATTATTCTCATGATTCTCAAAAATAATTACACAATAAAGATTATGCAGAAAAATTATGATACATAAATAAAAAATAAAAAATCAACATTAGATTATTATCAGAAATAGTCACTGAAATATAATAAATTGTTAAAGACGATGAAAGGTAATGTGAATAAACGTCTAAAAAGATGAAAACAAAAGTAAAGTTATATCTATTTTAATCTGTCTTTTTTTAGACAATTGGAAAGCCTGTGGAAGAACTTTCTACAATTGTTCCTATCCATGATTTTTCCTTTCAAGTGATCTGGCACCAATTATATTTTTTTATCGATATATTTAATCTATTATTTGATAGTCTTTTAATTTGAAGACTACTTAAAAATTCAAACAAAACAATAATAATTATTAAGCTTACAATTATAATTTTTATTTTTTGATATAATTAAAGCTTTTCTGTTGTATAACTTTCATTTAAAAATTTTAATATAAAAGAAATTTTTTTTTAAACTACTATTTGAAAATAAACTATTTTACGTAGTATTAAGGGATGAGTTATAAATTCTATTTTAAAAGTATTTTCAAATGTATTCTTAAAATTATCTAATATCATATCATATTAAACTATTTATTTAAAAAGTATTTAATTAGATGATACGAATGCAGAGAAATAAATTTAATATGAAATCAATTTTTTATTTTAACTTTTATTTAACTACATTAACAGGCGCAGAACGCAATTTCTCCTAAAAACTAGTTATTGACATCAACAAAATTAAATACCTAATTTAAAATAAAAACACAACAATTATAATAAAACACTTGCCATAAATATGATTAAAAATGCAGTATATTAATTTATTAACAAAAATATAAACACTTATTAAAACGTATAAAAATTACACATATTATAATAATCAACATATGCACAACAGTTATTGCAATATTTAATAATGTTGTAATGCGTAAGCGTTATTATATTGATTTGCAAAAACACACTTCGATGAAACTATGTTGTTTTACTTATGTAAGATTGTTAATATTATTGTTTATAATTTAATTTAATATAATATACAGATATATATAATACATAAAAATAATAAAATAATGCATAAAAAATTTGTAGGTGTATATAATTTAATTATAATATTATTTTGATTTTGAATACAAGCACAATTAAATATAAAATTTGAGAATATGGGATAGTGATTTGAAGAAGTATTTGCCAATTAAGAATTTCAATTTTTTGTAATTTCAAAAGCAATGGTATTATGAGCATCGATTATTATTTATTTTTAAATATTCGATATGATTAAACCTGATAATTACGAGAATATGAAATATTAATATTTAAACGCTTCGATTGATATTAATAGAAATATACGTTAAATATAAGAGGTTGAGAATGCAAATGCATTATTTGCTAATTTCGTGATAGTTGATATCTGATTAAACACCAAAGTGTTGAAATTAGTTATCAGAATAACAATAGTTTTATAGACTATGAATTTTACTTTTTAATAATCTTTGAATTAAAAGTGTTCGTTCGCAAACTATTCGTAACTACGACGAGAATCTCCGATAAAGACTTTTGTTTAAAGACTTACAAAATATTCTTGTGTCATTTAACAATACAATAATCACTTATCAATACATTGATTGATATATGCAACAATAGGAACATAAGTAATCGTAAAGAGGGAATAAAAACCATCTAAAAAATTTGTCTAAAAGCAAAACAACACAAGTTCCACGGTCACTCTTTCTCTCTCTCTCTCTCTCTCTCTCTCTCAATCTTTCGTACTTTTTCGTACACTCTAGCAGCACAATCAGTATGCATATAAGCCCGGTTAATCGAATGCTGTAGGCGGCATCATGGATTGCCGACCGATCCGCTACTTAACGTCCGATCGGCTCCGGGGACACAGCCTCGAGCACTGGCGACGACTCCTTTCGTTCCTCGTGCTCGACGTCCTCACTTACCGAGCGGCCGACTGCAAGGAGCTCCTCCTTGTAGCAGCGGATCTCATCTTGAGACGTCGTCATCGTGCTCGCCTTCTGGTAGTTCTGGACAGTACCGTTGGCGCTGGCGTACGTGTGCTCTTCGCGGCTTGTCTGCAGGGCCGACGACGGTGCGGTCTCGCCATTGACGAGAGTACGATTGAGCTCTTGGTGCTCGCGCACATCCGTGCTCTCGTCTCGCTCGCTTAGCGTATTGGCGACGAACTTGTACGAGGCGACGCCCATGCGCGTGTCTTGCGATACGCGCAGCGTCGTCGTCTCCGTTACCTCTTTCACAATCTTTCCTCCCTTCTCCTGCAAATGCAATATTTCCGTCAGTACCATTGCTAGCGTCTTATTATTCCTTGCACTTTCCTTCTTTTAGTTATTCGAATTTATAACCACAGCTTTTATTGAGAAAAGCTTTACAGAGAGCTTATTGCATTTTTAAACTTATGTTATTGAATATTGACCGAGGTGTTATTTCTAAGGTATAAGCGTTCATATAAACCTTGGGTTTATATAAAATTTTAATATGAAATTAAATTTACATATGTTTATTGTAATATTTAAAATATTGACAAAATTGAATGTCTAGGAATCAAAGATTGAAAACAAACCTATTTCCGTAAATTTTATAATTCTATTAATTGAATGATAAAGCAGCTAATTTTGTAATAGTATTTTCGGCAATTACTTCACTAAATTTAAATTTAAATTTCAAGTATCAATGTAGAAACTACAATTAAATAATAGAATAGTTTCAGCTTAAACTTTCTTTTTGGTATTTATAAATGTTTTAAAATGTAAATGGTGCTACAAGAGTTTATTACTCACTTTAATGTATACTCATTGGTAGAATTTGTTTTGATAAAACTTATTATATTCTATTGTTATAAAGAAAAATCTATTTCTTATATTAGCGATGTATAATTGGAAGAATAATTTACTTATTAATATGCATATCAGTGCAATATAATTATATTATGTACATACTTGAATTATTCTTTGGATGACAGTCGCTTCATCCGGACTACATTCAGCAATAATTTCCTGATCATTAGGATTCGTTGATACAACAGTTTCGGATTTCGCTACCGGAAATAGTTCGTCTTTATTTGTCAACTCATTTTCCATTTTCCGGCTACAATAAAAAGGTTATTTTAAATGAATTATACATAATCTTTAAAGAATATTAATTAATTATGTGTTTGAAAAAGTATAGCATTTTCCTACTTTAAAGAATTGAACAAAAACGAATGATTTTAATTCAGGTTCAATTTCCATAGAAATTGAGAAAATACAGCCTACTTTTGATGTACAATAATTTATTATTAGGCAATACTTGTACAATAATTATTAGGCATTATATTGCTAATCACAATAAATAATTTATAGAAGAAAATCGAATGTTGAAACTATTTAACATATCTGTGCATTTAATTATAAACGGAATTTATTAATGTAATCAACGATAGTATTCCTCGAACACAACAATAAATTATAACTTTCTATAGGTTCCTGCCGGCGTTCATGCGCCGGCACCAAGCAAAAGATCTAAATAAAAGTGAATGAGCCCAATTCTGTTGCTCCAAGAATAAATCTCCATTCGCATATTGTCGAAACGCGCACAGGAAACGTCGACTCTTCACGCTCACCAGGTCGTTGAAACGAGGGCATCCTCGTACTCGGATGAGAGAAATGATTCGCTGCGCGACCTTGGCACAGGTGTGCTCGAGCATTCAGTTGCTGTCACATATTCTTCAGCGTTCGAGTCCTCGACGGCGCTGCGATCGCCTTCTGGAGTCGGTTTAACTATTTCCTTTGGCTTGTCCTCCTATAAAAATTTAACCTTTTAATTTGTGTTGTATTATTTGTGTTAAGCTACAAATCGTCAGTGGTAATGAAATTATATTAGGATTAAACATTTTCTATTTGCTGTGCTCAACAAATTCGCCATCATAATTTTATTTTCAGCTATGAAAATTACAAACGTCTATTTCAGAATTTAGTTGCTCACTTTTTTAATACAGTTATACATATTCATTGATAATACCGTAAGATGTAGATAATTTTATTAGTTAATCAATTGTTTTAGAAATAATTAAAATTAATTATTTTAAAGTTCAAAAATTTAATTGAAGATATTGTTAAATACATGAATTCTTTTGAAAATTTCGTAAATTATTATTCAACTTTCATTGTTTTAATGGCTATACTTTTATATTAATAGAAACAATACAATGTTATATAATAAAACCAATATTATTCATATTACAAATTTGAATAAAAATATATGATATGGAAATTTATAGTTATATTATAGTAACAATTTTTCATAAGTTTTAATCCAAGTTAACTACATTAAATTGTATTGTATATTGAATTAATCAAAATTAAATAAATGAAAATATTTTAATGATCCCGAAATTTAATAAATAAAAAAATTTTTAATTTAATTGTTGAATTGTTACAAATAACTAATCAATAGACATTTTATTGAAGAAGCTTCTAATTGCTTGAAAATTTCTTGAAATGTTTTCAAGAGTTAAAATAAATTGAATTACTTAATTTTATGTATCAATTTTTACATAGTTATTATATCATGTATTATAATTATTATAAAATAATATGTTAATTGATTTTTTAATGATTATAAAGTTTATTAAACCTAGATTAATTAGTAATTAGAAATTAATCGAACAAGATATATAACTCATTAATACTACTCATTTAGTGTAAATAATATTAAAAAAATTATTAATCAGAATTGCAATTCTCGAAATCCTAACGACTATAATTATATGTATTTCATTGTAGAATAAAAAATATTAGAAACAGTTAGTGAAAAATGTTTCTAGACTTATAATAAATTATTTTTTTCAATATAACATAATACAATATTTTTTTATAATAATTATTTTGTGCCAACTATATGTACAATTTTTCTAGTATAATTTTTACAAATATTTTATTAATTCTATAATATATATAAATTTTTTATGTCACTGCTAATTACATTCTAAAAATTAATTAATATTATACATATATTCTCAAACTCTTATACAAATTGAAATAAACTCTAATCATAATTAAAAAAACTTTTAAAATTTTGAAAACATCAGAAACTTGAGTGAAAACTTAACTAAGACTGAGTAACAATAAACGACGATCTTGATGATGAAGTTATTTGAATAATATACTATCTTTTTGAATAAATCCTATATCTTAAGAAAGTATCAATTTATAATTTTTTATTTCATATGGAATTCTTAAAATATCGTGTAACAAAAAGCTAGTTTTTATTTTCATTATGAAAAACGATTTCAAAATTATGAAAAATGGTGTTGAAAAAATATTTTTGTTGTTGAATATGAATGATTGATTACAAAATTAAAAAAAAATACCAAGCAAGTAATCACTACTTTAGGATAAATTTTTAAGAAATTTTTATTTTAAAACAAACGGCTGTATTATGAGTATTGATATAAAGTTATAAATTGTTTATATTACGTTTTGATAGCAGTTTTGTTAATTCATATTATGTAGTTTCATTCAATTATACTATATTTAATATAATAATTTGTAATACAGTTGTATAATGTTATATGGTTGGCTAACATAAAATTATTGCTTATAATAATAAATGAAATAAATTTTTAATTCTTAATAATTTCATCTAAATATTTTGTAAAATACACATATTTTGAGGAAATACTGAATTTGATGAATAAAGTTAATATTTAAATATTAAAATATAACAGTTTTTTAGTTAAACAAAAACAAAATAAAAATTTCAGAAATATGAAATACTCAAGATATTTGGAAACATTTTTTTTAATAATATTTAATGCGATTTTATATGATAATGTAATTTTTAGAATTAGTTATTTTATCATAGTTTCATACTGAATTTAATATTTATTTTTTCTATCAACGTATAATTTAGACAGTACATTAAACTGCTTAATTTTTGAAAATTTGGTTTAAACAAAAAAAAATAAAAATTGGTAATTAAAACTATCATTAAATTAAAACTATTATTTAGATAGTTGAAAAACTTCGAATTCTACTTATTACTAATTATTAATAAAATAATTATTCTAATTATTACTTTTTTAATTATTATTTGTATTATTTAATTTTAAGAATACATCATTATTTAATAAGATCTACTATATTATCATATATTATTTACATTAGTTTTTGACATAGAAAGAATATTATTCATTATAAACAACCTATATATCTCATAAAATTTATAAATAATTAATTAAAAAACTTGTATTTTAAAATATTGTGAAATTTTAGGAATGCCAAATAATAATAAATTTTCACGGATTGTTTCGCGTAAAAAATTAAATCCCCTGTATCAATGAGAAATATTGTAAATTTACAAATTTTATTTATTCAAATAGTTTAGTATTAGATCTTCTACTTTTAATAAAATGCACTTTGAAAAAGAAACATTTTAATAAAAATAGCGTTTTACAGGATGCTTATTGTCAAATTACGAGATTTTTTAAAAGTCAATATCTCGATCATCAATTTTCGGACCTTCGACTCAGAATTCAATTATATCAACCTGTGATGTGTGGCTTCTTTTCTCCATGGATAGGGATTGCTCTTTCAAAGATATTTCATCTGCGATTGGTTCTAGAGTCCGGGTCCTAGCGCCTGCCTCGCACAGCCTTGCGTCAAGTTTTTCGGCCAGTCTCGTTACCTCCAGGAGTTTCGCCGAGATCGATTGTACGGCCGATTGATTGCCACTGACATCGCTGATCTCCTCAAGCTCCAACATTCTATCCCTGCTCGAAGATTAACGCAAGTCCAGAACAATATAAACAATGTATGAAAGGTAAGGAAATGATAAGATCATATATTGAAGCTTTGTCGATTCATGTCGCACAATATCTTTTAAAAGAAAATAAAAAAAGAAATCCTCGTATTAGGCGCAGAATATTTGATGCGCATGAGGCGCCGTCGACTGGAAATCAAAGCTGTTGCTTCGAAACGTCGTTCCTTTCGTTTCGTTCGCTAAGTTTACGTAATAGAAAGCACCGTAGACACAACTTTTTGCAGCGCACACACGGCCGCGCGCGTGCGAATAAGACTGTTTCGACGAGAGAAAAGCTGGCATGCCAGCGCGAGCAGATGTGAGCAAGTGGGATAAGGGGAAACGGGGATCGAAATGTATTGATGAACACGAATTGGAAACCTTTAAGATAATTTCGATAATGATAAGGACGGGGGGAGATGGTAATTCGAGGGCATACTTCAGAATCTCTATTCTCTGATTTCTGAGAACGAAATGCTCTTACTAGCACTAAAATGTACGCGTATGTATCGCTGGAAGATGATCACGCTATTATGAATAGATTTATTAGAAGCGTAGAATTTTACAAAATATTTAGAGATACAGTAAATTAAAAATTATCTTTCGCAGTAACGTACAATTTTTTGTATTTTTGAACAAATATTTTAAGAAAAAAATTAAACTTTGCAGTTACGCTTTACAAAGGCATAAAATAATTTATTTTTATTAATAATAAAAAGGCAATATATTCATATAGTTATTTAGAAGTTTTTTTATATTTTTGAAACTTTTTGTAAATTAATACATTGATTTATTTTATAAAAAACATTTACATAATCTATATTATTAGTTTAATAAAAAAAATAATAATTAAATACTCATACTAGAAAAATACTTTATCATTTTTTTCTTTCTTTTTTTTATAGTACAAGAAGCTTTTACTCTACTAATATTCTGACTTTAATAACATTAGCTGACACAATTTTTGAACGAATTGTGCCATGTTGGATCAAAATTAGTTCACGGGTTAAAGATGTTTTCACGCTCAGTGTCATCAGATGGCTCGTACAAAATTTGTCTATTTTTATATATTTAAGAATTGCACTTTTACAGACTTCATGTACGACGATGTTTAATTCTAGGCTATGCTTCTATTTAACTATTTATAAGCTATACTGATGATTACATTTGTTATCATCCAACCTATTTAAATAAAGTATTTAGACAATTGTTCCAAGAACTGATTCTTTTACAATATGCAAATATTATAATCTCTTTTTAATCAGTGCATCTTGAAATGAAAGAATTCAGTTAAATATATGTGTATACAATAAAACTTAATGTAAATTATAATGTGTCAATAAAATATTGATTATATTATTAATAAAAACAAACTTAAAAAAAAAACTATTTCAAACATATTTTTTTATTCAAAATTACAAATTTTGAATTTAAATTTTGATATTATTCTTTTTTATTCAACTTATAGTTTTTTCTCAAATTCGTATTAAATATTTTCATGATATACGATTCAATAAAATAGAAGATAAAATAATCTCTCCCAAATTCTCAGAAATTAGTAGTAGTTAAAAATACAAACATTCAATAAAGAAATATAAAAATCAACACAATAATAGATGAAGAATTCTAAAATAAGAGTGGAAGTAGAAAGGAGCAACTAATTAAATAAAAATAAGAGTTACGGAGGAATGAAGCTTATAATGAAGAGAAGCAGCAAAAAGATATATGGGAATTACCGTTGCTCTCATTTTTGTTATACGACATTTGCATTACGAGAATTGCTGAAGAAATTTAACAATACTGAAAAAGAAATTCCAAAGATAAGATGGCGCAATTGAAAAAATTTATGGTTTCTTAGCCCAAATATATATTTTTCAATATTTTATGGGTTTATATGTTTTAATATATTTAACATTTTTATCTTGTTGATTAAAGTGTTTAATTTATGGACAAAGCCATTGATTAATACTATAATTTATATTACAAAGATCTGATTTATTAATATTTAATCTATATATAATTTGATATTTCAATGAAGTCATAATCTTTTCTAGCTATTCGATCACTGAAATATAAATTTATATATATATATTTTTTTTTTTTTGGTGGGGTACGCTTACATTATAGAACACGTGAGATATTTTGTATAAATTTGAATAACAATATTTAATTTTAATGTTTAAAAATCTATGTGAATGAAAATAATTATGCTTAATTAAAAACACCAAATACATTGGTAGATTATGTATCGATTGATTATAAAATATTTGTTATATTTTCATAATTTAAACGAATAAGTTTGAAATTAAAGTTTAAAAGTAAAAATTTTACATTTTATAATATATAATAATGGAAATATTAATAAATAAAATTTTAAATTACGTAAAAGAAAATAAAATAAGTACAAATAAAATTATAATTTTTTCTTTAAATAGTTATTATATTCCAAATTAATATCAATACTTTCAAATTCTTGTTTTCACTGTTTTTCAATAAAGTGATCAATTAGTTATAAAATATAAAAAGGAATTTAAGTATTTAAAAAATATTAACATTAACAAACTAGTGCCTAATTTTTTTTAACAACCTTTGACATCATAAAACTAATAAAATTTTGAAATTTTCTATCTTTTAAAAGACTGTGACTAAAATAATTTTATAATTGTCCTTTTTGTCATATAACTAATTCTTTTAAATTCAATGAACCGTCAATAAAAATCAACATTATTAATAATTTTAAAATTTGCATATCTTAATTATAATTTTATTCAATTTTATGAAATATTTATAAAATTAATAATAATAAGTTAAGATAGGGTTTGCAAATGCAACTTCGATATATAATTATATTTGAAGAGCAATTACATTGAATCATACTGTAATAACTTCTTATTATTATAAAATTTAACTAAATTACTTAGTTCAAGAATTTCATGTTGCAAATCTATGAAAAATGAAAGCATATTATAATGTGTAAAACAACCTACCTTTGATGAGCTAACGGCTCCTTTAGCCGAGACCTTAATAGTCTACCGAGGCGGACCATTCGCCCAACTTCCTGAAGCAGTTTTTCTCGCTTTCCAAGCACGTCCCTAATCTCTAGTTTTGGACGTAATGATGATGCAGCCTCCATTGCATCTGGGGAAGAAGATGGCGTCATTGATCTGCTTCTTTTCGTCGAAAAAACGCTTACTGTGTCGATCATTTCATGTAGTTTTTCACAATGCTATATGCAAATCCAGGAACAATCCATACATAAAAAGAAAAATTTGTTTAATTTTTATCTATTATTAATTACTATATATTTGTGTGATTGTAAAATGTTTTTCTGTACCTGCCAATTTATTGCAATAAACTTTTGTTATTGGATACATTTACTAGATTTTCTGTGTAATTATATCCATGTGTACATGAGAGTCGAAAAGAATTTTCGAATAATAAAATTTTTCAAACTATACAAAAATAAAGTCAAAAGTTTACGTATTTTATTTATTCATATTTTCATTCATGAAAAAATATAGTTTTTTTCATTTGAACAGTTATGTATTCACAATTCTTTTTTATGTATAATATACAATTATTATTGTATTAATATTAATAAATATACCTATTATATTGTTTATATATATATATATATATATGTATATATCGCATTGAATATTTTTTCTTTATAATATATTTAAATAATATATTTCTTATAAATTATATATTATAAACAATTTAAAATAAAAAATGTGTTTTTTTTATTCTTTTCAATTTCATTTTAATTATATTGTTTAATAATTTCAATGTGTTATGTGTAATTGTTTTATAATATATGTTTAAATACAGGAGGAATCTAAATTCTAAAATATTTTAAGTCAAAAATTTTTCTGTAAATTGGTAATAATGAAACTGAGAATATTAATTTTTTATTTAATTATATTTCTTATTATAAAATTGAAAAAGATCGAAAATTTAAATTATTGATAAGATATAGAATTTCGTAGCGTTTCAAAGTAATATAACTTTTTTTAATTCATTTTAAATCAAATATATAAAATTTTTATTCTATTATATTTTTATAATATATAAATTTATTTATAAAATATAAATTATTAGAAAATAAAGTAAAACCCAGATTTTCAATAAATAAAAAGATTTTCCTATTACGCAGAACGTCAATATAGCTAAAGCTAATTTTATTCAATTGAATATCAAAGAAGATAGACTTTCAGAATAAAATATTGAAATAGAATAGAAATAATGAAAAACATAATATATCTATTTTATCAGTTATAAGTTATAGTTTAATAACTTAAAAGTAATTCGTATGAAACTTAAATATTTTAATAAATTGAAATAAATTAAAATAATTTTAATCGGGCAAATATAAAGTAAATACATTATAAAATCATCTATAATAATTATCTGTATAGCAATTCTATGTATTTCCAACGAGTAATAAGTCAAACGCTTGTTTTTAAATTCATAGTTAACATCTACAAAAAGATAATTTCTACTTTATTTATCGGCAATAACTTACGTCGGCAACGTTCTTATGAAACACAGCACAGACTCTCAAGCGAGTCAATTGTTCTTGGCTGACCGATCGGAGCTGACGCCAGACCTGCCGTAATCTAGATAATAATCCCATATTGCTCATGAGGTCCAGCTTACACGAAATTCTCAAGACTTTCGCACCATTCACCAACTGACAGCCATACTCGTATGTTCCCTTTAATTAAATTCACTGCGTCATAAACATTTTCAATTTCTATGAATTTAAATTTTTAAATTAAATTATTTATTACATTAATATCCTTACTACAATAAAGTACTTCTTACATTGAAATTAATAAACTTTAAACGAATAAATATTTTAAAAAGTATTCAAAAAATATGCAAAATTTCATAGTATGTACATTATGTAAAGTTTATTTATATTTATATAAAAATTATTTGAATCTGTCTAACAATCAATATAATTGCCAATTACATGTTTTATTTTTTAATATATAACTTTATTAGTGTACAGATAACAAATTGTAAACATTTATCAGAAGTTTATTAAACGACTCATATTTTATTTTTATAATGCAGAATTTAATCTCGATTCATATGAATATCAGCATAAATTCATTCTTCTCTTGAAACAAAACAAATTAATATAATTACCAATTAATAAAGAGTCATAAATAAAAAATTATGGTTAAATTATACTAAAATACTATATTGTGTTCAAAGCAATTCCACAATTTTTATAATAATAAATGAAAATTCTGTTACTCTGGCGGTATCTTGAAATGATTGATGTTCTTGTTTCTGCACTTGTATTTCTGTAACATTACAGCCAATTTCGACATGACTATCAACCAGTACATCAAATAGATCATTAAGCCAACTTATAGCCTAAAGACGAAAATAAATTGTATTAATACACTTATTTGAAACTTTAAATGTTATCAAATCAAAGTTAAACCTGCTCCACATCACTTTCGTATGTATATACGAGTGCAATTTGTTTTAATGTTAGTTTTTGAAGTTCGACACTGTCATTGAAAATATTTTTCCTCGCATTGGTAGCATCTAAAATATCTTTAATATTTACAATATCTTCCCCATAGTCAATAAGAACATCACGACATAAAGCATCCTTGACTGGCATAGAAAGAACGTCTGATAATTTTTCACCTTCTTTAACTAATTCTTGCTCTAGTCCTTCTACAAAATATATATAAGATGTACGACAAATTTTAAAATACTTATTGTTTATTTACATACATACATACATATACACATGTATATATATATATATATATATATATATATATATATATATATATATATTTATATAAATTACCTAGTTTCTGTTGACTACGGTCAAGTTTCATTAGCTTTACTCCAGCATTTGAAACATTACACGTTCGACTTCCCATTATTAATTTATCAAAAACTTCACTCGTTTTGTCAAAATACTAAATAATATAAAAAGACGTTTATTCGTGTGAACATTATACTACAATATATATTTTTTCTCTTATACATAAATATATAAATTTATTTATTAATTTACTTTCTATAAACAAATTACCTCAGAAACAAGTCGAAAAAATCTTTGAGACGTAATTAGCACATTTCTTCGTTTTTCAAGTCTTGTGGCGAAACTTCTGCAGACAAAATCCATAAAATCTCTTTGGGATTTTAAATCCTCGGAGAGATAGTCACTTGATATACTGTCTATTTTATGTAAAAGCTCAGCATATTTCCCATATGTTTCCTGTTATTTAAAATGTAATAATCAAAATAATATTAATATATTAATCTTTGATTACTACTTCTACTATAATGATTGTATTCTTCAAAATTTATATTTATTTTAATGCAACTTATAGTTACTTGTAAGTAAAGCTTTAATGTGTTTATAATTTTAAATTCTAAAAAATATTTGTAATTTATTATTATCGTTAATTTATATAATTATTAAAAATTTGCTTAAGCAAATAGTTAATCTAAGATACAACAAAAACGAAATAAAACAAACATTTTTATTTATGATGTAGTTATTATTTTATAAAAATGCTTTAATATAGGAATATTACGTTCACCTAAGTTTTGGATCTTTAAAATTGTTACCATAAATAAAATAATAGAATTATGATCGTACCCTACATTCTAGTTCAAGTTTTTCATGCTCTAGCCTCAATTCTTCCGATGAAGCTACGTCGAAACCTATTTGGTAGTGAGCATTTAACATAGAATCGGCAGGACCAAGAATCCAATTCGTCACACTAGCAACACCTTCTTCAAGATTATCTATTTCCTTTAATACATCTATATTTCTTTCCATATTTGACCAAGCTTTTTCAATTTCAACCTGAATATAATAAAATTCTTTAAAAATGTAATTTTTGAAATACACTATTTAAAAAATTTCAAAATTGTTAACCATTTTTATAATTTAAAATAAAATAATTTTAAATATAAATGATTTAATTGAAATTAAAAAAAAAAATTATTTATTTACAATTATAATTTTCTCTGAATTTGGAAAAAACTTTTTAAAAAGTACTCTTGATTTAAATGTAAAAATCTCTTTAATAGTATATACAATTAAAATACATAATTCTAAAATATATTATGTATATACATGAAAATCAAACAGATACATTTCTGAAGAATAATAGAAGACTTTAAATTTAAAAATAAAATATTATTTCATAAAATTTCTTTGGTGATCTGATTTGGAGATAAATAAATTGATTCTAAAATGGTATTTTATTTAAAAATTTTAAATTATATGATATTTTTACTTGATATTCAATTCAATATTAAATCATTTATACATAGAATAAATTAAATTATTATATGCATAATTAGTGCAAAATTAATACCTGCTTATGTTCTATGGAATCGATAAGGTTATGAATTCGTTGTACAGAATCTAGAACATCTTGCGCAGATTCTCGATTAATTGTATTCATGAAACTCTTACCTGTATATGAAAAATTATTATATAAATATGTATTTAATGTAGTTGGTAATTATTCAAGGAATTATAAAAAAATTTACTAACTTGGATGAAGACTTCGTTGAGATGCATTAGCCATTTTTAAATTCATATTTCTACTCAATATGAAGTTTTTATTTCAATCCTTTGTATAAATAATTTCAGAATTTATTAGTCTTTTTTATTCGTTTATTTTTAAAGAAAACTTAAATTTTTCTTGTTCATTCATAATTAATTTTTCAATAAGAATTTATTAATTTTCTATAATTATATATACATATTTTGTCAATCGAATTTTTTTGCAATGTTTATTTTTTTATTAAATATCCAGTAAAATAAAATTTGATATACACACATTATATATTTTTTTAATATTTGTTTTAGGGAATAATTAGAATGTTCAAAATATATGATAATGGAAAATATATCGTAAAAATATGAATATTCAATTAGTAATAAATGAGATTAAATATTAAAATTTAAAAAATAAATAAAATCATCTATACAAACAATTTATTCTGAATGCATAATATATATTTATACGGCTGTTAATCAGGCTAGACATCAATGAATCAGAATCATCATAATTGCTTAGTATTTCAAAAGAATGTAACTGAGATATAATAAGAAAATATTGAATCTTTGATTGGTTATAAAAATAAGATGATGTAGGCACAATATTGCCAACTTGTATTAAACAGACCTTTTGTGATAACCACATATAAGCTACATATTTTACATAGATAAAGATATCTGTGCATTCTAATTTTAGAAATAATAACTGTTTAGTGTAAGTTTTTTATATATTTTAAAATTATACAATAATAAAATTAATAACCTTGAGTTTTAACTATGGTATGTCTTACTTTAGTTCAAAAACCATAATAAGTAGTTTCAAATTTCTAAAATTTCATATTATCAATATGTAGTTATGTAATTTCAAAAAATAAATAACACTCTGTTAAATTTGGAAGTCTATCTGCCACATACTTCAAAAATTCTTTTTCAATGTAAATATGAATTCTCAATTTAAACGAATTTGAATTAAGTTTAATGCACCATAAAATAGCTGATAAGATTCAAGACTTAAATATAATTTCATATGAGTTATAATATTCTCTTTAAAATAAATTAAATATCATACTAATACAATGTACACATACTTTAAAATTTTTAAATATAAAATTATAAAATTGTAAAATTATAAAATAAATAAAAAGTTTAATTAATACATTAAACATGCTATTAATTATGTTATAATTATTTTACACAAAGAATTCATAAAATATGTCCGATATATTATTATAATTAAAATATATTTATTATATAATCGTGAATAATGTTTTGCCATGTAACTAATACTAATATAAAAAGCTTCCCTTGTACAATTTGATTATAGTTTGTACTGAAATGCATTATAATTATTTACTATGTATCTGTAATAAACTATACATCTTTATTGTACTGTTACTGCGATTATATTTCAGTTTTCCAGATTTACCTACCAATTCAAAAAATTAATAAAGAAATTAAGTAACGATTCGGGGATTAAATATAAAGTGAAGTCTATGTTAGTAGGCCAATATCGAAAGTGTAACGAAATATATAAAATAAACTCTCTTCACGGATGCTGTTTTCTGATTTCCACGTTGGCCTTACAAGCCATACAATTTGCTATAACTGTCATCCTTAGAAAAATCAGAAGTCAAACAAGGATCGCGATACAATTCATTGAGCTGTCTATTCTTATGTCTCTATTCTTACATGAAATAAAAATATTAGAGATTTTTCATTTTTAACGTATTTCGATAACAATTTAACTAAAAATATTTGCTTTACTACACATTATGAAATATGAATAAAGTAAAGAAAGTTAATTGTCGTTTCGATCAAAGCTATGAAAATTTCTTGCTTTAAAAAATTTGATAGTCCGAGAAAGTTTAGCTTAAATCATTAAATATTTAATTAATCATTTTAAATTAATTATTTCAATTTTATAATTTTATTTTTCTGATTAAATGACGCTAAATTCTTTTTTATATATCTGAAAACTAGTATTTTATTTCAATTAAAAATATTCAGTACAAATAAATTGTACTTAGGTGATTTTCGGATCAGAAAGTATATATAATAATTTTCGTATTAAGAATAAATAAACAAGTATTTATTATAATTACACTGATTCTTATTTTTATGTTTACAATAATTCAATTGATGTTCTTAAAATCTGGTTAGAGTAAATTAAAAGTTAATGTAAAATTAACATATATTATATATATGATAATATCTGAAATAATATCATTTTATTTCATTTGAATTTATTTATTTAATTTGAGAATTGAAAATTATGAGGAATTAGTTAAAAAATGTTATGTAAAGAAATATAATTATTCTATAAGTTATCTTAGTTTTAATCCATCAGTTAAATAAAATAAAATATAATTTTATTTTAAATAATAATATTTGTTTAAATTGAATCAATTGCTGACAAGCAAAAATTTTACTGCAGAGTAAAAAGTCAAAATGTTTATATAGAACAATATACTAAATGAAATTAAATCTTACAAGTTTGTTCTTTTTTTAGACTTAATAAAATGTCATATTTTATAAACAAAAACAGATTTTTTTCGCAATAAATTATTTCATATAATTCTATTTTATTAAAAATAAATTTAATATCAAGTTACGTATATAATTACTAACATTAAAATTAATCCGTATGAAATTTATAGTAACTGAGTAGTTGATAAAAATCAACAAGAAAAATACTAGTAAGATTTAAAAAAAAAACCATCTGAATTGTTCCCAATTTATGATTCAAAGATCATTTACATATTTAGTGAAGACTTATTTTATGTATATTACAGTTTAAAAATTTTCAAATTTTAATTTCATCATTTATACACTGTATCAATAAAGAAATTAAGAATATAATAGTTGTATTCTAAAACAGTCTCAACCGATTTTTGTTTTTGGAATTAAATATATTATGAAATAAATGTATTATAAATATCTTAACTAAGGTATTCCTTAATATAGTTTTAAAAGATATTCATAACATTTAGCATTCAATGTTATACGTATTTATTCAATGTTATATATAACTATATATAACTTTGTAAATTTATGCATTTAGCAACTACATTGTAGCAAACTAATGTAACAACTTATAGTTATTCAAATATTTTTCTAAAAGCAGATTAGATTAAATTAAGAATATTCTAAATTGTAAATATAGACTCACTCTTATGTAATTTAGTTTATTTTGGAATTTAATTTTAATAAAGTTTAAAATATTAAAGGAAGTTTAAAAAGGATCATATTCAAATTTAGAAACATTGTTTAAAATGAACGACATATATCATTTAGGATTCTTTTGTAATAAAAATAATATTTTTAAAATACCTAATAAATACAACTTCACCAAAAGTATTAGGATTATGATCATTAATCAGTTCACTTGCAGGGTCACAATATAAGATTAAAATATTAGTCTTTAAAAATCGATTATTAATTGTAAATATCAACTAATATTTCATAAAATCAAAGTGAAATTCGTTTTATATTTAATACTTTATTTATCATTTTTCTCCAATAATAGTTTAGTAATATAATAATTTTTAAATTAAATTTGATATATAAACATATATAGATTTATAATTAACATTTACTATTTAAAAAAATTTATTTATATTGAATGTAAGAATTATAGTAAAATTATTATAAAGAAAATATGATATATAGTTTAATATAATAAAATAAATATAAATATTAATCTTTTTAAAAAATTAATTATTTTACTATATTAAATAAATGATAAAAGCAATATATTCGAAATATTATCAGATAGAGAATGGAATTTAAAAAATAGTCTATGTTGCAAAGTATTTGATGTAAAATTTTAATATTTCATATTCATAGAATAAGAGAATATAATAGTAATTTTTTAATACTATATCTTTTGTAAAAAAATGCACTAATGTATATACATATAATCTTTTATTGTTAATTTTAGAAAATTGATTTTCTCTGAAAATAATTTTCGAAGTTACAAAATATTTTAAATTAATATAAATGATAACACTGTCTTTTTATTGAAACAAAATTTATTAGTAACTTCTTCAGTAAAATTTAATTCTTTTAAATAATACATAATTCGCTTGATTAGAATCTAGCTTTTTGCTAGATTTAAACTTAAAATGAATTCTTTTAAATTATATGTTTTAAGTTTTTTTTACCAATAGAACTGATGTAATTATAACTGCTATTAATATCGAGGTATTGAACACAATATTAAAGGTATCAAATACAATATATATAAGGTACAATGAATTTTAAGAGAAAGATTTTATTATAAAAGAGATATTTGAAAAATGAGATTCTTTCATTTTCAGCTATCTTATTAAAAATAAATATACTTATAACTGTAAAAGTTTTAAAAAATACTAAATCGTATATACAACGGTTCCGCATTGCTATTCCATTTACAACTACTAAAACATAAAAGTTATATGTATGAAATGTTATATATTTTATTAAACTATACTATTGCATTATAAATTAATATAGGTTTTAATACTTAACTCAAATATTCTACAATATGCAATAGCTTTTATTGCAAGTATTAAGGATATATACATATGTAACGTAGATTTGTCGTGATAATCTCAATTTAACTACAGGTTGTAGCACTTATTGAATTACTTTTATATCGAACTGTATATTC